TATTTCTTTCGTTTTCGTTCAAAACTTATAGATCATTTAAATTTAAGTCTTTAATTTTTATTGAAATCAATAATTTACAAAAAAGAGTTTCACTGAAAAATATTTTATTAATTTTAAATTAAATTTCTATCGAATTCAAATAGAAATAAAACAAATTTAATTAAATTACATTAAAATTAAATTTAAATTTCTAAATGTTAAATTTAAGTTCTACGGAAACTTAAATTTAAGTTTTTGTTTTTAATTTTTAACATCATTGATAATTTATAAAAATAATTGTAATAAATAGTTCGTTAATTATAAAGTTTCTGAATGGTAAATTTAAGTTTTAGATTTTTATCAACATGAATCATTCAGAAAAATAGTTTATTAATAAAAAATATTTCATTAATTATAAAGTTTCTAAATGTATTCTAATTTTAATCGACATGAAAAATTATAAAAACATTTATAATAAAAAATATTTTGTTTTGTTAATTGTAAAATTTCTAAATATTTAATTTAAGTATTTAATTTTTATCAACATCAGTGCTTTATAAAAATGTTTTTAATAAAAAATATTGTTATAATTATTAAGTTTCTAAATGTTAAATTTAGGTTTTTAATTTTTATCAACTTTTTTTTATCAAATTTTATAAAAATATGTTTAATAAAAATGTTTTGTTCATTTGAACGTTCAAAACTTATGGATCATTTTGTTTCAAGTTTAATATCATTAGAAATTTTCAAATTGCTTCGAAAAGTATAATTAAACTATTTCTTTCCGGAAATAAAATATTTTCAACAAACTTTAGAAATATTGTTACTAAATACACAATAATTTAATAAATATGAAAATACCTCTTTAAACAAAATTCTTACTTGTAAATATTTTCATTTTCCTCGAAATTTCCGTTTGCACTTTTCCTTTTTCTTCAGTGTTAAATCCATAATAAAGGTAAACTTTTTAATTGCCTTTTAGTCGTCAATCATAATTATCTGCAAAAAAACATAAAATATTAGTAATAAACTTTTTTAGTTCAATTAAGTAAAATTTTATTAAAATTGACTGTTAATTTAATTTTTTATTAAATTTTTAACTAAAATTTAATTGTAAACACTTTTCTCAATAAAATAATTATTGAGTCAATTTTCCTAATTTAGTTTCAAATACAGAAATTATTGTTTCTAGTTTATTATTTAATAATAAATTATTAATTTAATCCAAACTATTTGCTTTAATTAAATGTTTCGTTGATTTTTAAAAATAGTTAATTAATCAAAATTATCCTAAAGTTCTAAACGTTCAATTGAACGAAATTTATTAAATTTTTATTACAATAATTTTGCGTCACTATCAAAAAATTTTGTTAACAAAAATCAAAATAATAAAAAAAAATAAAATTTATTTTAATAATTTATTTAAAAATTTTATTACAATCAGTAATTTATGAAAATATTTTTAATGAAAAATAATTTCTTCATTTGAACGTTCAAAACCTGTAGATCATTGAATAAATTATTTAAATAAAAAAAAATTTTGCAAAAGTAAAATTTTAATCACTTTTACAGTGTTTTATTTATTTTAATTTTCATTATTTATTTTTTGTATTTTTATTTTATTATTTTATTGTATTATAGGATTTTCATTCAACAAATTATTTTTAGTTAGCAAAAAAATGGTTTAGTATAAAAATAAAATATTAATCACTTCTTCAATATTTTTTTTATAGTGAAAAAATTTATTAAAATACTTTAATAATTTTTTTCCAGCAGGAAATAAATTAACAGAGTTAGATTTAACTAATTTCTAATTATTTTTTAAATAATCAACTTGTATATAAGAATAAAAATAGAAAAACAATTTAACACGATTAAGAAACAATAAAGAACAAAAAAAATTTAACCAATTTTTAATTATTTTTTAAATAATCAACTTGTATAAGAATAAAAATAGAAAAACAATTTAACACGATTCAGAAACAATAAAGAAAAAAATTAAGAAAAAAAAATTAATAATAATTTTTGAGATGCAACACAAGTAACGCCCAATGCAATTGGTGTGAGACAACAAATATTTTTAGACATATAATTGTCGAGCAATTAACCAGTTTTCAATTAACGACTATACTTTAAACTTCAAATCTAGGACAAATAGGTAACCAAACGAGATATAAAGAAGAAAAAATATTGTATGTGGAATTTCTACCTTGAGACTTTTAGACTTTATCGTACACACAAACCGTGTGATACAAAAATCACATAGGCAAAGAAGAAAAATTAACGATATTCGTAATCGTTGGATATGAAATAACCCGCACTTGAAATATATATCTTGTTTCTTTCTTGGCATTTTTTCTTTTTCTTTTTTTTTTTACATAAAATATACGCACAATGTAAATACAAGCTTATTGCAACTACATATATACAAAACGATATCATGCATATATGGTGTATTTCTATACTTGTGATTATATTTACAGTAGCTATATGCTGCACGTAAAATTAAGATAAGTCAGATTCTCGCTGCTCATAAATATTTGTAATTGTTTTATCAGGGAATAATTGGTGCGGATAAGAGTCCCGCGTGTTGACTCGACTACTGACGATTATTTTTCCACAATCACAAGTCGCTTATATACTATACACATTTGGAAAAATAGAATAAGAACGAGGAAATATCGTTATTTCTCGTAATTACAAGATTTATTTTTTCCACCACTCCACTGCGAGATAAAGAATTTTTTTCGGTATTTTTCAGAATATGTAAAATTTGTACGCGCAGTGGAAATAGGTTAGAATTTTGTTAATAATCAAGGTGCAACATAACCTTCATAGACGTTTAAATAAAGAAATATTTAATAAACTATGGACGATGTTTGATAAAAAATAGTAAACAGTAGTTTTATAGAAAAGTATAGAAATGAAAATAAACTTTAAAGATACCTGTATGGCAAAACATTGACACTTCGACAACTTTCGTCTTTTGGAAAAAGTGTTGAATAACTTCTCGTGTTTTGTAAAAACATTTATTCTTTTCGACTTTAATAAAAAGATTCGCACTAAATGTAACTTATTCTTGGTTATTTCTATAAAAATACACTTGTAAACAGAGTAAACACAATAACACATTTGCGGGGGAAGTCGCAATACTAGGTTATAACGGTTATGACGTTCACTACCGTTCGGCGCCATTCGGCAAAGTTCGGTAGTCACGTGATTAACACTGCGCGGGATTTTCAAATTCCAGTGCTCCTATTGGTCGCAGCTGGTTCACTGGACCAATGAATCGAACTATTGAAACAAGTGGAATTGAACCAACAGTTACTTTTTGTTGATAAACAATAATCACTTGGAATTTGATAATTATTTGTTTTAAACATTTTAAAGTTGTTTAAAGATTGTTAAAGATTATTTTATATAACTCTGAATCGAATACTGGCAAAAACGAAAATAGTTTTTTACAGAAATATTGTATTTCTTTCATTAGTTTTCCAATTATTCTGTTCTTATTTGCCTTTCGAAATCGAAGTGTAACATAACCTTACTTTGTCAACTTTTTGGTATTTAAATTCAAATTTAATTTCAATTTGTAATTAAATGGGCATTATTGTTTGTATATTTTCATATTAATAAACAATTAATTGACAATATTCATTTTCAGGTATAATAAAAGTGCTGGAAACTATAATTCAACATCGTTTTTCATCGCTAAATCTTCGAGATCGCAGACTTCAAAGATCGATATGTCAATAATCTCAATAATGGTAATAAAAGGTTAGTTTTTTTAATTAATTACAAAAATTTATTAACTACCATAAAGTTGGTATAAAAAATTAACAAAATTCAAAGTTTTATTTCGAAAAAAGTGAAATTGTTTTTTAAAAAAAATGCTTTTTAAGCAGCAGTTTCAGCCGAAACAATATTTTTAACATTCAATTTTTATTTATTGAAAAAATATTCTTATAATTTTAAGGATATTTTTGTAGGGTATTAAAATTTTTTATAATGATTATTCTATGATTCAAATTAATTAAAAATAAATAAAAGCATACTTAGAACAATTGATTTTTATTATTTAAGAAAATATTCACAATTTTAAGAATATTTTCCCAAATATTTAAATTTTGCAAATAATTATTTCATTCAATTTAATTCAAAATAACCAAAAAGGCATTTGGAATATAGTTAATTTTTTATTATTTATGAAAATATTCCTGATTTTGAGAATATTTTCATAAATATTAAAATTCAAAATAAACAAAAACAATACTTAATTTTTATTATTTAAGAAAATATTCCTATTTTTAAGAATATTTTCACAAATATTAAAATTTTTAAAATAATTATTTCGTAATTCAATTTATTTGAAAATATAAATTTGAGTCTATCAATTTAAAATTTAGAACACTTAATTTTTATTATTTAAGAAAATATTCCTAATTTTGAGAATATTTTCATAAATATTAAAATTTTAAAAATAATTGACAATTATAATTGAAAATAAATAAAAAAAATAATTTTTTTTGAAATTAATCGAAAATATAATTCTAAAATAAATACGATTAGTATTTATTCTTAATTTCAGAATATCCATCATCAAAATAATCAATAATGAAATAATCTATGACATATTCATACCAAAACTCATTTATTTTTCCAATTGTGAATTAAATATTGATATTTCTTTGATTTTCGATAATTTGACAAATATCGATCACTATTAATTTATATATTAAATTCTGAAGAGGCGTGATTCTTTCTCAAGTCCTCGCGATTATTATATACATATATATATTTCGTGGGCGTAAAACTCCGCCTTCATTACTATCTCCAAAGAAACGCCTAGTCGCATGTTTTTAACTTTAAATCCCACCTTCGAGTTCTGTTCCTTTTCCTCCACAAACACACACTCACAGAATTCCCCTCCTTCTTATCCTTGTTTTTTTCCTCTTTTTTATCTTACTCTTTCCCTCCCTCTTTCACGCCAGCAAAAGGTGACTGTCCAGGACAGTTTCAAAGTTGCAGCCAACGACTGCACCACGCTCTAGTTTATCCTATATATAGCTCCTTTATATATTTAATCGCGGGAAATAAACACGCACACACGCATACACAAAATTACGCGAATTCTTCCATTTTTTTCGGTCTAAATTAAACAATAAATAAATTTAAATAAATTATTAAATAAATAATTTATTTCTATAAATATTTGTGTTGATAAGAATTTTATTTCAAGTGTCAATTAAATTGTGAATGATGTGATTAAATTGAAACTAAAAATACTTTTGTTTCTGTATAGTTAAATCGCAGTCGATGAGCTTTATTTCAAATCGAAGGATTAAGGATTAAGACCAAAGGATTAAGAGCGGAATTAGTGAAATATTTATAGGACATTTTGCAGAGAAGGATTTTGTTTTCACATTCATGGATTTCCTGCCGGAAATTGATAATTTGTTCTGAGAATAATTGTGTCGAATTGAACTCTTCCTGTGATCATCGACATTAAATTACTGCATTATTCGTAAACAACAAACGGAGAGATCATAGAAGTCAAAAAGTGCTTAGTAATAATTAGAAATTTTTTTTGAAAGTCAACAAGAAGAGAATAAGGGCCATCAATACGGATTAAAGATAAAGAGAAGATTAAAGAACAAAAGTAGAGGATTAAAGGAAAGGTTGAAGATTGCACAAAGTCGTCAGTAAAGATTATAAAAGGCACCAGTAAAGATTAAAACTCAAGTGGAGAAAATAAGCTGAATAGAAAAAATACCACTAAATACTTGTTTTGGAAAACAAGATCATTAGGAATATAAAGAAAAATCTAAAAGTAAAGAGGAGAGAAAAACGAAAGAGTAGTTTTTCAAAAAGCGAGAAAATTGTTTCTTATAGTTTGAATAAAAATATTACAGATTCGAAAGGTTATTTAGAAAACAAAATTAAGAAACAAAATTGCGAAAGAAAATTGGAAAACAAAATTAACTGCAGTATAATTTGAATTAATCCCCAAGGAAGTTGGAAGCAAAGGTAAATACCAGAAATTAAATGTAAAATTTGAATTGCTTTCACAAAAAGGCGAAATATTCCTTGCAAACTTTTCGAGGCGAAATAATAATAATTAGTAAAAAAAAATACGAAATTTTCCTAAATATCGATAAAGACGAAGAAATAAACTAAAAAATTGATTTTGTATTATCACCCAAAAAAGAAAAATTAGTAAAGTGTAAATTTATATATTCATTCGATCCGCAAAGAATTTTCAAAGGCAGAGACGCAACGACAACCGTCGGCGCTTCGCCCAAAGATTCAATTTATTTTCCAGTAAAAAAAACAAACACATTTACGAAAAAATTTATCACCATACAAAGCAAATCAGTGGCTAAAAATCCCAATTATCCGAGTCTAATTTTTCGAAAAAAAAATTAAAACTTCTTCAATAAAATATATCTCTATTTAATTCAAATTATTTTCCCCCCGGGCTCTTTTGATTTAGCGAATCAAAGTACATATAATAAAGGCAAACCAAGAAATTCACTTATCGTTCTTTGGGATTTCTTGGTTGTGTGCGACTACGCGAATAAGACTAATTAATTACCGGCGGCTGGGCGGTCGCGCGCGCACGTGACAATTAATTATTTAAATAGACTTTCAAAGTCGTGTGTGAGAAGCGAAGAGAAAGAAAAAATATAACGAGAAGGAGGCTGCACTATATACATGTATATATAAATCCTTGACGAAGAATCAACAAAAAAACAAAAGAGAGAAAAAAAAGAAAGAAACGTATACGAGTGCGGAAAAATTGCACGTGTTTAATTTACCGCGCGACTTAGTTTATCGGATTCAACTGCCGATGCCGGCCATGTCAACCTCAAACTGATTATATACGTGAGTATATATCTCTTCAGGTCATTACACTGACATTTACCTTTTTATATATGTATATACATATAAATCTACATATATACAAACTTCAATTTTTCTTCCTTTTCTATACTTATAAATTTATAATATGAAATTCCGCATTTATAAATTTACATTATGAGATTATTCTCATTTTTCATAAATGTTGTGTTTTTATGCGATTATTTTGATTTATATTCTGAAATTAAGAATACTCCGGGTGTAATTATTTTGGAATTTATATTTTATTTTACGTTTTCGAAAATATTTCGAATAAATAAAACTTTAAAATATTTATACAAAAATATTAAATGAAATATTTTTGCAAAACTATTATATTGAATATTTATACAAAAATATTAAATATTTACACAAAATATTAAAAAATATTTATATGAAAATAATTACTGTAGCAACATTCATATTATTCTCTGAAATTGTTCGAAACATTAGGAATTATTTAATTTTTTTTTTAAATATTTGAGCTTAAAATTGAAATTAAAGTTCCACGGGTTGTTCGTCAGGAAAAATATTTTGGAAATTTGTTATTGAACTTTGAGAATTTCTTCTTTAATAAAGAGGGAATATTCTTGCATTTTGAAATTATATTATGAAATTTTTATTTCATTTTGCATTGTCAGAATAATTTTTGGCTAGAAGTGTTGATATAAAAAATTGTAACATTTCTAACGACTATAAAAATAATAACACGAAAAAAATATTAATAATGATAATAATAATTTATTTATTTTTTTACTATAAATATTTTGATAGTTTTAAATTTATTTTTCAATAATAAACAAAATAATTTTTCAAAAATTCTAAACGTACAAATAATGGACGATATATTTTGTCATTGTTAATATAATAAATCGTAACACTTTTAAGAACTATAAAAATAATTAAATAATAATAATAACTATAATAAAAATAATTTTCCAAAAAATTTAAACGTTCAAATGAACGGTAAATTTTTTCACTGTCAATATAGTAAATATAGTAACACTCCTAACGATTATAGAAATAATATAATAATATTATTAATGATAATAATAATAATAATAATTTTTTATTATAATAATTATAGTAATAGTAATTGTAATAATAATAATAATAATAATAGTAATACACTGAAAAAAAATTTATTTGTTTCAAATAATCGATTAATTGACTATATTATCAATGAAATATTTACTTGAATCAAATAATATTTATTAATATCAATTAAATGGTATTTGAACAACAAATTTCAGTATTTTAAGCAAATATGAACTATAAACCATTTAATTGACTCCAATTAATATTTTTTGATTCAATTAAATATTTAATTGATAATAGTCAAGTAATCGGTTATTCGAATCAAATAAATTTTTTTCAGTGTAGTAATATAATAGTAATAGTACTAGTAATAAAAAATAGTAACAATAAATAGTAATAATAATTATTTTCCAACAGTTCTAAACGTTCAAATGAACGTTCAAATTTACTATAAATATTTTCAAAAATTATACTGACGGCAATAAAAATTTAAAAAGTAAAATAAAACACTTTGAAACTTTGAAAATTATTTTTTAAATCCGTAATTATTAAAAAATAAATAAATTCCAATAAAATTTGAATTCGCGAAAAGAAATAAATGAATTTTGTGCATTTGAACGTTCGGCACTTTAAGGACATGAAAAATAAATATACGATCTAATCAAAGTTCAAGTAGAAGACAATAAATTTATGACTAAAATTTGTGGATAATTGTTAAATAAATAAACAGTTACTGATAAATGTCGAGCACTTGAAGTCATAAAAATCAATTAGTATAGATTTTACTTCCTTAAACATTAAATTAGAAATTACAATTCATTTAAGCAATTTCTGTTTACACGCCTCGGTAGTAATTGCGACAATAATATATTTTTTAATGCCACTTAAAAAACAATTTCTTCATTTTTTTTTTTTTTTTTTTTGAAAATAATTTTGTTGTTTCTTTTTGCAAAATTTACTGAACTGAGACAGTAATTAATATTAATTATTGTACTGTTCAAACATTTTGCCTAGTGATAAATTTTGTTGTTAAAATTTACTAAATAACAAGTAATTTCTTTTCTAAAAGAAATTTCTAAAACAATTTCTTGATTTTTTTTTGAAAAGAATTTTCTTGTTTCTTTTTGCAAAATTTACTGAACTGAGACAGTGATTAATATTAATTATTGTACTGTTCAAACATTTTGCTTAGTGGTAAATTGTATTGTTAAAATTTACTAAATAACAAATAATTTCTTTTCTAATAGAAAATAAATATTAGCACGGAATATTCCATGTATATTCCCACATTTTTGGAAATTTTAAAATGTCCCACCCCGAGTAAAAAAATAGTACGGCTATTTAGAATTTTTTTTTTTGAATAATTTAAGAATATTCCATTGGTACATTAAAAATATTCCTTTGAAATATTCCATCCACTTTTTGGAAACGTAAAAATACGTTGTTTAAAATATTGTAAGAAAATTCCATTGGAACATTGTAATTGGAATATAGTAGGAATATTTCATTTGGAATATTATTTCGAATATTATTTGGAATATTATTTGGAATATTATTTTGAATACTATTTGAAATATTATTTGTACCATTATTTCGAAAATTTTTTGGAATATTATTTCGAAAATTATTTCGAATATTCTTTCGAATATTCTTTTGGAATATTCCTACTTTTTCAGTTGAAAATAAATTGATAATTTTGGAATTCTTTTATTCTATTATTATTAATTATTTTATTCGTTTAAATGAAAGAAAAATTGATTCTCCATAAATAGAAAAATTTAGAAGAAGAAAAACATTCGTGAAAAGTAATTTACAACAAAAATTAATAGGAAAGAAATGTTGATTATTTTATTCGTTCAAATGAAAGAAAAATTGATTCACCCATAAAAAGAAAAATTTAGAAGAAGAAAAACATTCGTTAAAAGTAATTTACAAAAAAAATTAACAGGAAAGAAATGTTTATACTTACAAAGTATATTTTTCAAATTAATCTATACTCTGCATTGTATAATTTAGTTGTAGTATTTTATTTATAATTACAATTTTTAAAATTGATATAAAAGTTAAATTTTTTTTCTTTCATATATAGTATACTGAAAATTATCAGTTCTTCTTTGTATAGTTCAAGAACTTAAATACTATATAAATCATGAAATTGCGTGCACTATGTTTTATCAGCGGCAGGTTATTGCGCGATTGGGAATATGAAATATTTAACTTCGTAGCATGACATTATACATGCATATGTAGGATAGGAATATATATTCTTATCTAGTCTGCCATTATCCGCACTAAAGAACTAAGGCTTTATGTGTATATATATAAACTTCAAAATTTAAAAAGAAAACCAAATGTGTATTTAACAGTGTAAATCATATTGAATATTGTACTTTTTGTGTACAATTTATTACTTTCAATTATAATGTAAGTTTTGTTTTGATATTTTCTTTAATTTTAATTCCTACACTTTTTCCGAATTTAATTCTTATTTCTAAATTCTCAATTCTTTTTGAAATTTTAATCGAAATCATATTTTTGTATTTTTTTACCGTTACTGAATTTATATGCGGAAAATATCGAATACAGATGTCGCTTAAGTTAGCGTCGACGCTGAGCGTCGAAAAATGTTATTGTTTTGAGACTTTTAGGGATGAAAAAGTTACTAATTTCACCTTCATTATTCACCTAGGGACTTAAAAACTGCTAAAAAATTGTTTCATTCTCTTTGGTTTCGTGAAAAAAATTCTTCCGCTAAATTCAGGAACTTAAGAAACTTCATCAAAATCTTATGTTTGTTATCTTTTTACCTTCAACAAATCTTTTTACATTGATTCTTTTGAATTTTTTAAAGTGAAAAATGATTTTTATTAAATATTGAAAGTGGAATTTTCAGTGGAATTTCACTGATTCAGATTTAGACAGTATATAATAATTAAAACGTGTTAATTTGTTACTGTAATTTCTTAAAAAATTATTTTCATCATTTCGATTATTCATTACTAAAATTTTCAACTCAAATTCTTCTTTAAATCAATTTTTTAAAATAATTTTTGTAAAAGTTCTTTCAGAGTTTTCAAATCTTTTTATTTACAATTTAATTTTACAAAATTTCGATTATTCTGACATTCTTCAATTAAATATATATTAGAAATTAAAAACTTCAAAAAATTTTTAAAAAATCCCACTAAACTTTTTGAAAAAAATTAATTCTACAGAATTCTTAATTAAAAGTAATTTTCAAAGATTTTAATTTGAAACTTTTTGAAAATTCAATTATTTCTAAACATTTACGCTTTCAATTATTCAATTATAATCTAAAATTTTAACTGAAATTTCTTTATCAACAAATTTTTAAATAATTGATTTCTCTTGACAAATTTTAATAAAAATTTTAAGAATAATTTTATTAAATTCTAATAAATAAATTGTAGCACATTTTTTTTAAATAATTGAATTTCTTCGATAAATTTTAATATAATTTTTAAGAATAATTACATTTTTCGAGGAATTCCATTAAAATTGTATTAAAAATAATTGAAACTCTGCCAAGAATTTTATTAAATTTTTTGAAAATAATTGAATTTCGGAGAAAAATTTTATTATTTATAATTATTTATAAAGATAATTGAAATTTTGACGAAAATTTTTGTAAATTTTTTAACATAATTGAATTTCTGCGAAGAATTATATTACATATTTTTGGAAATAATTGAATTTCTTGAGACGAATTTTATTAAAATTTCTTGTTAAATAATTGAATTCTTTTGTAAAATTTTTATCGAAATAGTAAACATTGAAAATAATTGAATTTTGGCAAATTTTTGAAATTAATTAAATTTCTATGAAAAATTTTATAAAAATTATTTTGAAAAAAATTGAATTGTATTCGTTACAAAGAATTTCATTAAAATTTTTGAAAATAATATAATTTTTTGAAGAAATTTAAT